GTCTTTCCAGGCCAACCCAGATGGGATTTAAGAAGCTGTCTGCCTTTGATTAGAGCCAGCCTACATTCCGGACCCATTTGAAAAGCTAGTCCATACTTTTTCCCCCCATCTGTTTGACTGTAAAAACTTCTACAAGAAATTCTACAACTCATAAGTGTGACTGGAGCAAGAAACAGAAAACAAATGCAAGTAGGAGCCTATGCTACCAGCAGGACCTTTTACTCGTGCCTCCTAAAACTTCCGAAACCTGGTCTCCTAGATACAAGGCCGGTTTCAGAATGAAAGGCTGCTGTGTGCATCCCACTTGATGCCTTGCTATCAAGAACACCCTTCGTTTTCTTTATCCCTGGGTCCACTAGTTTGGGTTTCAGACCAGGAGCCAGTGGCAAATCGGGAACTGCTTTTCAAAGGGAGACTAGGGTAATTGTCCACAGAGGTGGTACTAGCTTACGCTCACCCTAAGGGTCTGTGCTCTGATCCTCCTCTTGGATGAGCCAGAAACATGCTCAGCCGCCCTTATCTGCCACCAACAACCTGAAGGGCATTGGCTCTGTGGCACAGCAGAGCAGCATCCCTGGAGCTCAGACCTGATGCAAAATCTTCTCTTGCTCCAGGGTCCATGCAAAACTCTTAGCTAGTAACTGTTTGTAGCAGCACACCCAGATGTGGTACAGGCTGCCTTCAAACTCCTCACTGCCCCAGAAGCAGTGTGCCTCTTTCTTCATGCTGAAAGTGCAGCATGACTTAGACCAAGTCACCTCTGTGTCTGGATCCTGAATGTTTCTAGGATTTATTCCCCACCTTCTGGCAGGCATGTCTCTTCCTAAGGCACTCAGGGTTGCTCTTTCTGATGTCTTACCAGCTCCAGTTTAAGGTCATCAGTTTAAAAGCCCAGTGTCCTATCTGTGGGATAACAAGAGCATTTTATGACCGAGAGCAGGAAAGTTGCATAGCACAGAGGGATGTAAGTCGGTGAAACTGACTGCTGCCCTACACTAGTTGAAAAGGAACTAATTCTGTCGTCTTCAATTGATTGGCACAGAAACAAAGACTCGTGAGAGAGTAGTAGAGGATGAGGACGGATGGATGGATGGATGGATGGACAGGCGGGCGGACGGATTGACGGATGGACGGACGGATGGATGGATGGATGGATACGAGGAGCAAAGACGAATCGGCACTACCATAGGCAGAAGGCCCATGGACAGATGGGTAGGTAGATGAATTGATGGGCAGGAATCTGAATAGAAGGGCAGAATGGCAGTAAAACCTCAGAAAGCCAGGATCTGTACAAGGCAGAAACCTGTTGGAAAAAGAAAACTCAAATATTTCCCAAAAAACCAAGCGACAGAGAAGCGGTCAGACTGCACTGCACTCCTGTCAAAAGCAGAAAATTTGAAAGAGCCTCAAAGCCCAGGCCGCGCTGTCAAGGTCTGGTTCTCACAGGGTTCACTGTATAATAAACCCGCTGCCATCGAGTCAGAGCTGCCTCATAGCCACCCCGTGTGTTTCTGAGACTGTCACTGGTTACTGGAGCAGAGAGCCCAGTCGTTCTCCCTCGGAGCTGCTGGTGGGTTCGAACTGCCGACCATGAGGATCACAGCCTAACATGTAACCACTGTTTAATAATGGCTAATATTTACTAAGTCCCTATTATGTGCCAAGGAGGCCTGGCAGTACAGACGGTTAAACGTTACGTTGGTGGGTTCAGACCTCCCGAGTTGCCCCACATCCTGTACAGATTTCCAGTCTTCGGAGTCCTGTAGGGTGGATGGAAGTCAGCATGGACGCCAAGGCAGTGGGTTTGGTTTGGGGTCTTAGTATGTGCCAGCCTCTCAACTGAGGATTTTACTCCGTTTACCTCACCGAACCCTAGCAGGAGGCCTGTCGTGCTACCTACCATGTTTTAGAGAAGAGCCCTGAAGGTCAGCTGGACACCTGCACCTGATCGCACGGCTAGTAAGTGACAGGATGTGAGTCCCACCAGAGGCACACCGATCTGCAGCGTGCCCTCTGAGCTGCACTGGGCTCCGTGGGCAGGTGACAGGCAGGCAGGGTGGGGTAGTGATCTCACCCGCAGACACCTCAGAGCTGAGTGGGTATAGACCCGGCTTCGGCACTTACTAGCCGCATGTGACCTGGGCTCTGAGCTTCATTGTTCTCCTGGGTAAATAGCGATGTTAGCTGATGATAATAAGACTGTGTCATAGTTGGGGGTGTGTGAAGCAAGATAGTCGTGGTAACAGTACCTCAGACACAGCGATCAGAAATGCTGTTAATATTATTAATAGATGCCAAGAATGATAAATCAGAGAGTCTGGGGATGGAGGGTGCTGAGTGAATGGATATCCCATATATTAATCTTTCCCTTGAGATCTTTCTTCCTGGCCTTTCTCTAGCCTTTCCCACAGGGATGGGGAAATCGCTTCTTCTCCCTGGTCAATTCCTTGAAACGTGGGGATTTGTCTGGATGCGAACTGGCCAGCCCTTCTCCTTAGAAATCCCCTCCAGGTTCCCAGGCTCCAGAGGAGGGGAAGGATGAAGGCGCTATCCCAGGCCAGGCCCTCTCCAGCTGTTCCTCTGACCCAGGTCTTGGACATAAATGTCCAATTCCATTTATTGGAAATAAATGGTCAATCAAGGGGAGGGGGCAATGCTTGTGGAGTCGCAGTGTGCTGAGATGTGGGGTCGAAATGCTGGGCCGTCTCACAAGAAACGTTCCCTGTCAGCTCTGCGGGTGTCCGTGGAGGGACTGGTTCCCAGATGGTGAGCAAGCAGGCGCTCCCATGACCTGGGCAGGCGGCCCCAGGTTCTGGCAGTGGCTCCTAAGACAACAAACATTGTCCTTGTTCCCACCCCACCAGTGGGCTACGATTAGAACTGCCAGAGAGAGGTAGGAGGAGGGACAAACTAGGTGAGAGGGCACAATTCCTCACTCTGCCTCCCCCATCCTCACCCACCGCCCACCCCCCTCTCTCACACACACACACACACACAGTCACTTCTGAACCCCACACCTGGGTTTAATAATGCAAATGCCAAGGAGAAGCTAGGGAAGGCCCTCCCTCCAGAGTCCACAGGCCTGTCAAGGCCAGACCACAGTGCAGGCTGCTTTGGTTCACAGAGCTGAAGCCAAGGAAGTCGGAGGGGGGAAGGGAGGGAGGGAAGGAAGGCGGACAGGGTTAGATTCTGGGAGATAGAGGGGGGCAGAGAGGAAGCGCGGAGAAGACGGGAGGGGAATTTCTGAGGAGGGAAAGTGAAAGCCTCTGGAACTATAAGTAGGAGGCAGCCTCCGCCACAGCCTCACAGAGGCTTTCCAGACCCTCTCAGGTCCCCAAGGACCCCTGTGTGCTTCCCACCGCCCCTCACCCTTGCACCCAAGCCTCCACCTCACACAGGCTCCTTGCACACACCAGAAACTGACTTCCACTCACCTACCTGCTGTCACGCTGCCTCTGTCCACCTCCATGGCCCCCTGCAAAGCCCTCCTGCTGGCTCTCAGCCTGCTGGCTCTCTGGACTCCCCCGGGTAAGGCTGAGGGGAGGGCACGGGTGGGAGGCTTGGGGCATGACACGATGTGTGCGTGTGACTGCAAGGCCAGGTCGGTATCAAGGTCCACCTGGTTGGGTGAACTCAGGGACCCTGGGCCCCAGGTACATGCCTGTGCCATGAGGGGGCACCTGGGCTCCAGAGTGCTGATGGGTGTCTGTCTCTGAGTGTGTCCCAGGCTTCCCCTCTCTCCCTGCAGGCTCAGTGTCCTAGCAGAAGGAGAGAGCAGTGTCCAATTGCTTAAGGCTGGCAGGATGAAGATGCTAAGGCAGGAGTGATGGTCACAATAGAGCACTTCACAGGGTCCCAAGACCAGCCTTGTAGAGACACCGAGTCCTGGAGGTTTAACGGCCAGTGCTGCCTCTTCATCTGCTAGATCATGAGATGTTGAGAAGTCCCGGGACAGAGCGCTCAGAAAAGCAGGAAGGCATTTGTGGGGCTCAGGATAGGGGTTATTTAGCAATCAGTATAGATCTATTTCAATCATTTAGCCACAAGTAGGGCCATGTTGGTGCACTTTGGCTGGATATCAGGTGCACAAACTTACACACACACACACACACACACACACACACACACACACACACACAGGTGTCCTTATTCCGTTTGGGAGGTAGCCTCCCCTCCTCAGGGTCCTATGTTCTAACCCCACCTTTTCCCCTATCACCACTCTCCAGCTCTGGGTGGTGCCAACGACGCCGAAGACTGCTGCCTGTCTCTGACGCAGCGGCCCATCCCGGTGAGCCTCGTGCGAGGCTTCCGCTACCTCCTCCCCAAGGATGGCTGCAGGGTGCCTGCCGTGGTGTGAGTCAGGGATGGGGGTCTGGACACTTCTCTTCTCTCCACCCCTGGGGATCCTGCAATGTCCTTGTCTCTCTTCTCCCTGCCAAGTCCAGTCTCTGGCCCTCACACCAGGGCCTTCCAGGAAGCTGGGTTCCAGGGCTCCGTTTTCTCTGCCCTCTGATTCCAGATTCACCACGGTGAGGGGTTACCAGCTCTGCGCACCCCTAGACAAGAACTGGGTGAAGCGCATCATCCGGAGACTACAGAGGATCTCGGCCAAGGTAAACCTGACTTCCCTCCCTCCAAGGCAGAGGTTCTCAACCTGGGGGTTGCAACCCCCTTGGGGGTCGAATGACCCTTTCACAAGAGTCACCTAAGACCCTCTTTCCTGTGACCTTAGGAACCGAGACACCGCTCCTCTATCGTATCCAGGCGGGTCCCCCCACATGCAGATACACCCACGTACGAGGTCACCACACGAGGAACTGTATTAAAGGGTCGCAGCATTAGGAAGGTTGAGAACCACTGCTAAATCCTCACCCAAGACCTCAGCCCCTGAGCCTGCCTCTCCCTCTACCCACAGAACAAGCGCGACAGCAGCTAGAGGGAGCCCCGCGCCTGAAGGCAGAGATGCTGAACGCTGCAGTCCTGGGGAAGCCAGCACCAGAGGGACGGACAAGGCCTCCGGCGCCTCTGCCCCAGACGTGGCGGGACCTGCAAGTGTGTGTGTGGCTGGAGCAGACACTTCACCCCCAACAAGAATGCTTCAATAAAGTCCAACTGGCCCCTAAACCGGTCTGCTGTCTGTCTGTTGTCTGTCCAGGAAGGGGAATGATCGATCGATTTCCCACTCTGCAGCCTGGTGTTCTCAGGGCCAGCCCCCCCCCCACCCCCACCCCCGCCATGAAGGCACTGTCTCGTCTCTCTCCATGGCCCCATCACCCTCCAGGATGCAGCAATCCTGTCAGTTCCCTGAGTGGCCCACTTCTCTCATCAGTCTTTGCTCTCCAGGGCAGACACTCAAGCCTCCAGGAGTCTCGGGTGTCACTTGGGGAAAGGGAGCTGTCAGGAACCGGCTAGACAGGGGGCCCAGCTCTACTGCTGACAGAAAGTACTCAGCCACTTATGACACCGGATCTGTCTGGAACAGCCCTCTCTCTCTTCCATGCCAGGCTGGCTTAGGTAGCTTCCCAGGACCCCCCTGCCCCTCTCTCTGCCCGGCATCCATCACACAGAGTGGCAGTTTTCATTTGTCAGTCTTTCTGGAAGACGAAGATCATACCTGCTTCCGTTCTTGCTGCCTCTCTGGTGTCCAATATACCGCCCAGCACATGACCACCACTCCGTAAATACTTGCTACTGAGTTAACAAATAAGTGAGGAGGGTCTCGGTGCTCATGGGCGAGGACCCACCCGTCCAGACAGAGCCTGGCCTTCAGACCAGCCCTCCCCTCTCTCCTCCTGTCCATCTAAGCAAGCGCCAGCCCCATGGAGGCCATCCTGGGCTCATGCTTCTCAGGCCCAGCAAACTGAGCTAGGAGTCAGTGGTCAGAGATGGAAGAGGGGCCGCAGGGAGGAAGAAGGAGCTGCCAAGAGAGACAGGAGTTGACATGGAGGAGACCTCCCCCCGCCCTGCAGCCCCCATGGGCTTCGAGGTCCAGAGCACTAAGACCAGGAGAATGGCAGGGAAGTGCCTCAGCTCTGGACAAGAAAAGCTCTATGACACTTGGAACGTTCCAGAGGGTTTCTCCGTGTAGAGTGACCTCCTTGTGCTAGGGAGGTCCCCTGCAGAAGCTGGACAGCCTTCAGATGGTGGCCTCTAAGGGCCTGTCCAGCAGAGAGAGGGTAGTCTGTGCCTCAGGGTCAGACAGAGGCTAGAAAGGCAGAGTGAGCATCAGGCTGGGAAGAAGGTTGTCTTTTTCCTGCATCCCTGAGCTAACCACAGAACCAGGCCTGCACAGGCCCTCCAAGGAAAGGGCGCTGAGGGAGTGGTGACAGCCTCTCCTCTCTGGGTTGGGAGCCTCACAACCCTTTCCTCCCCACTGATCCCAAAGGCTCCCAGCATCCCAGCAGGGGTGGGGAGAACAGAGGGAGTTCTCAAGTTCTCAACAGCTGCCATGACTGGAAGGTTTGGCTCTGCTGCTTGAAGGAAAATACCCTAGCCGTTCATGCATCCATGCATCCATGCATCTGGCTGATTAAATATCCATTAGCCCCCGTCTTCCTCCAGTCATCCATCCACCCACCCACTCACTCTCCCATCTACCTATCCAACCAGTCAGCCAAAGCGTCACGGAGCTCTCGGTTATTAATCCCCTCTAGACGCTATGCCCTGCACCCCAGCAGACAGAAATCAATTATAGGTGTGAAGGGGGGGGAGGGGAGCACATTGTCTCAAATCCTTCTTAGTGTCACAGAAGCAAAGACCCTCCTTCTAGACCCTGAGAGGAAAACATAAAATAGTGAGGCTGAGGGTAGGATCCCTAAGGTAAGCGCTATCAGGACAGAGGTCCCTGAGTCTTGTCTCCCTGACAATGCCGCTGGGAGCCACAAGAAAAAGTCCTGAGCTCAATGTCTGGGTCTGAGTCCCACAATCCTGTCTGCAAGCTCTTTCCCACCTGCAACCCAGAACCTCAGAAGTGGGCACCCAACTCTTTTCATTCCTCCAGTCGATCCTGTCCCTTCTCTTTCTCCTTGTCTGTTTCTATCTACTGGTCCTCCACCACCTTCCCCAGGCAAACAATCCCTCCTGGGCACTGCTTCTTATCTGGTGGCTTGTCCCAGCAATCACACATCCTCAAGGCTGTAAACGCCACCTGATCAACTTCTGCTCCGCATGGCACTATGCATCACTGAGGGGCCTGGCTATGTCCTTATCCTGGCTTCTGGCAGGCTAGGAGTCTACAGGCCTCCCTCTGACAACGATGAGGCAGTGCGCTGAGGAGGAACGGGGACTCCTGGCTTCCTGAGCAGAATGCAGGAAGCTTTACTGCAGGCCTTCCTTTTCCAGGGTATGTTAGATTCCTTGGCTGGAAATAACTCAGTCTGCAAGAGGAAGAACCTACCTGAAGCCTGGTTTGTGATCCCTGAGTTTTTATAAAGGCTAAAAGAACTTTCAGGTTTTACACAGGCACCCTCAGGGCACTTCACACCCACACATGGACACCTGAGGTCAGAGAAACCATAGCAGGGCCAAGGAGCAGCTGGAAAGAGGGTGGTGGGCTTCCGATTCTGGCTCTTCAGGGCCCTCTGCTGGGAGGCATGGTTCACGGTACTGGTTGACCCCATTGGCTGAATGAGGCTCACCTGGTCTAGATCAGAGCCCTCTCAAGTGTACTGGCTTCCTGTCCCAAAGGCCTGAATCGGTGCATGCCCTCTAGCCTTGAACTGCTTCCAACTTCCTGTAAGGGGGGGAGGGAGGCCTTGGCCTACAGAGGGACAACCCCTGATTTCTGCCTCTAGCTACCTAACAGGTCTGTGATGCCTACTACTGATTCAAGGCCTGCAGCTGATAGGCACTGCCCTACCCTAAAGGCCTGTGGTCTCCCCAGCTGTTGCTTTCGATAGCCCCCTAAGAGGACCTGATATTCCTTCTCAAAGAACCCCTAGCCTTTTTGTCTACCTCCACCATGGACAAAAAGCTCCCGTCCTAACAGTCGAATGAGAGAGTTCCTACAGGAAGAGTGAGTCTCGCCCATCTCCACTTCCAGGATTGTTCTACACAGGGCCTAGCACAGAACAAACACCCAAAACACATGGAATGAATAAAAGATGGGATTGATCGTGGCCCTTTCCCACTATGCCCTCCCTCGTTCGTAACTGGAGCACATTCAGTTCTCAAGAGATTATGGGGCTGTCTCTGGAATCATGTTTTGCAGTGTGGGTAAGAATGCCTGATCACAGCCAGCCCCATTTGGTTTTGATCACGTCCTGATTATATTCAACTTTTCGGTAAGCCCCCACCCCATGTCACCCCCTTCTTCTGGCTTCTGGAAAACTCAGACATAGCAGGAAAATACTGGAAATAATTGTCTTACAAGGACTGTCCCTTGGAGAGCTTCCTTTGAGAGTCCTTCAGTAGAAACAAGTGGGCATTTCTCTGGTCAGAACTTCTTAGAGGACCCTTGAGACATTGTCCACATGTCTCTGCAGGACTGGCTAACTCACTGCTGGCACTGATGAGGGGCTGGGCTCTGCTCTGAAAGCTGTTGACATTCTTTGGTTGCAGATGAGGAAACTGTGGGGCAGAGGTCAAGTAATTGCCCAAGCTAGTGAAATGGCTTGGCGGGGTTTCTCCCTGGGCAGCGTGACTCAAGTTTGTACACTTTACGAACATGCACACCATCTTTGTGAGTGGGTCCAGCTCCTAAGTGAAAATGGAGACCAATGCTTCCGTGCCAGGTCTGAAAAAGTGGCCCTCAGAAAGTAGGAAAAGTTTCCCCCACCTAATGTAGAATTTTAAAATAGAGCAGCGGGAATCTAATTTATTTTATGAATATGTATTTATTAAAACAAGTATCATTTTAGTACGTCCCAAAAGAAACTAGGAGAAGCCATTTTCTTTCGGGTAGTGACCATGTGCCAGGTTCAACGATGAGCCCTTCCTCGGAAGCCTCAATGCCGTTGACTCCTCAAACAAGCTTATGCTGCGGAACAAGAGTCCCAGTTTCTGCCTGAGGAAATGGAAGGGCAGGAAGTGAGCTCCAAGTCCACTCAACCAGCCACTGGCAATGTTGGGAGTGCCGGACAAGTCTGCTTGATGGCAGGCAGCATCAAGGCGGCCTGCGGTCTGTCTGCTCCGGCAGCGCCAGATCACTAAGACAGTGACTGGGGGGGAGTCTGATAGAGAGCAAGTTCTACCAACAAGCAAACTAATACAATAGGAAATTCCTCAGATGAGAAAAAAAGATAAATATGTCTATAGTCTACCCCTATGGCTTTCCAACATCAACTTACATCCTTCTTCACAAATACTAGACTTCGTGAAAAATTAAAGGTACCCCCTAGCATCCGCTTTTGCTTGTACAACCCCAAATATTCACCTCTCTCCAGAGAACTGTCTCATAACCTTAGCAAGTGCTGCATCCAATTTTAGGTCCAAGGTCTCCAGGCAGTGTCCATTCTACCTTTAGTTTTCTTGTAGCCTTACCTCTCTATTCAGCAACATCTGATATCCCCCACCAGCATACCTGCATCACTCGGGATAGGCTAGGTTAAGCTGTAAACACCCACACCTGAGAGCCTGACAAAACAAGAGTCTGTTTCCCACACATACCGAGTCGGCTATGGGCCCAGTCGAGTCTCCAGCACAGCTGTGTCCCATGTAGTGGCTCCCCATTCCAGGCTGCTTTCATCTTTTGGCGTGTTCCTTCACCTCACACAGGCTTCTATGATCGCTTCGGGCAGGGGGACCCCCCCCCCGTTTTTCAATTTTTTTTGCCCTTGATTGCCAAATTGCCCTTTTTGTTCCCTTTTTTTTGGCCAAGTAGGTCATACAGCTGTGCCTAACTTCAAAGGGATGAGGCTCGGGAAGGAGAAAAGAAGCCAAATTTGGAACTGTGGTAGGATCACCACAACAGCCTGTGGACTAAAAGAAGATAGAGACAAGGAAGGAACTATGAGTAAAAGCTGCAGTACATACTTCTAGAACTTAGCTGGTGTTTATTACTCCCTTCCTATATTAGTTTTCTATTGCTATGTGACAAATTACCACAAATTTGTTGTTGCTGCCACTGCTGCTGTTGTTGGTAGGTGCCAGCAAGTTGGCTCCGGCCCATAGCCATCCAATGTATGGAACGAAACACTGCCCAGCCCTGCCCATCCTCACCATCGTTCCTGTGCCTGGGCCCACTGATGCAGCCAGTGTCCATCCATCTCGCTGAGGGCCTTCCTCTTTGCTGCTGCCCTTCTACTTTTCCAAACATATTGTTCTCCAGGGACTAGTCTCTCCAGACAACATGTCCAAAGTATGTAAGACGAAGTCTTGCCACCCTTGCCTCTAAGGAGCATGCTGACCTTGCTTCTTCCAACACAGATTGGTTTGTCCTTTCATCAGTTCATGGTACTTTCCGTTTTCTTCTCTGGCACCACAATTCAAATGCATCGATTCTTCTTCGGTTTCCTTTTTCAATGTCCAACTTTTACGTGCATAGGATGCAATGGAGAACACCGGGGGTCAGGCACACCTTAGTCCTCAAAGAAACATCCTTGCTTTTCAATATTCTAAAGAGGTCCTGTGCAGCAGATTTACCTAATGTAATATGTGTTTTGATTTCTTGACTGCTGCCTCCATGAGCATTGATTGTAGATCCAACTGTGGTAGTTACGCAAAATCTCGTGTCAGCTTGAGGGCATTAAGGGTGAAGGGGTGGAGGCTAGCCTGTCAATCAGGTCACAGCCTGATGATGCCTCCTCGTGGGCATGGCCTTTTCAAGAGGATTCTAGGAACTTCCTCTCTTTCTCCCTGGAGGTGGGCCACATGCTCCCTCTGCTTCACCTTCCTGTTGAGGAGCCACACTCAGAGAGCTGGAGGAGCCAGGTAGAGACCCCTGCCAGCACTGAGATGCTTCCACTGCCTCTGGATCCACAAGACTTTTCACTCACTGGCCTGTGATCTTCCTGCATTCGACATCATTGTAAGTGGCTACATGAGTCTTAAGAGGAATTTATGGACTAGTATTGAACTTATGGGCTAATATAGGACTTGTGGACTTGATCTGGACTGAGCTGGGATGTTTTCTTAATATATAATTACTCTTTGATATAAAGCTCTCTCTTGCAAGATATGAAAAAATAATAATTTATAAATTATCAAGGGCTCATGAGGGAGGGGGGAGCGGGGAGGGAGGGGAAACATGAGGACCTAATGCCAGGGGCTTAAGTGGAGAAGAAATGTTTTGAGAATGATGAGGGCAATGAATGTACAAATGTGCTTTACACAATTGATGTATGTATGGATTGTGATAAGAGTTGTATGAGCCCCTTTTTAAAAAAAAAAGCTCTCTCTTACACACCTATGAGTATCTCTGGATTTGTTTATTTAGTCAACCCAGCCTCACACACCAAGTAAGACAGAATCCTGGACAACTTCAACCTTTCCTCCATTTATCATGATGTTACTTATTGGTCCCGGTGTGAGGATTTTGGTCTTTCTTACATTGAGCTCTAATCCATATTGAAGGCTACAATCCTTGATCCTCATCAGAAAGTGCTTCGATTCCCCCTCACTTTTAGCAAGCAAGGTTGTGTTATCTGAATATCGCAGTTTGTTGCTGAGCCTTCCTCCAATCCTGATGCCACACTCTTCTTCATTTAACAATAAATTTAGCTGCTCAACACACTCCAAATTTATCATTTCACAGTTTCAGTGGACCAAGAGTCTGGTTATGAGTTAACTGGGTCCTCTCTTGGGGTCTCACCAGGGGCCAGCCAGAAGGCTCAGAGTCCCCTTCCAAATTCCTGGTTTTGTCAGTTGTGTTTGTAGAATTGAGATCCTCAGCTTCGAGAGGCCATCTGCCACTCTTGTCACATGGCCCTCATCACAGTTTGGCAAGGCCAAGATGAGATCATCTGCTTCTTATCACTTACATCTCATATATAGACACTCTAAAAGGGGCTCACCTGATAGGTCAGGGCCACTCAGGATAATCTCCTTTTGACTAACTCAGAATCAACTGTTTAGGGACCTTGATTGCATCTGCAAAAACTTTCATCTTTGCCATATAATGTAACCTAGTCATACGAGCAATACCATATCATATTCATAGGTCAAGAACTCAAAGGGTGCCTTCAAGGTAATGGAATGATGGGGTCACAGGAAAGAGATGAGCCAGTCAGGGTGTAGTATCGCACCGATGAAACACACAACTTTCCTCTTTGGTGCTTCCTTCACCCCACTATCGTGACCTCAATTCTACCTTACAAATCGGATTAGACCAGAGCATGCACACTGCTGCAGATAAGAGCCCACAACACAGGGAATCCAGGATAGATAAACCCCTCAGGGCCAACAATGAGAGTAGAGATACAAGTAGGATTAGGGAATGGTGTGGGGAGAAAGGGGGAATCAATCACAAGGATCAATCTAGAACACCACCACCCCCCCCCACCTAGGGGCACAAAAAATGGAAAAGTGGGTGAGGGGTGACAGAGGACAATGTAAGATATGAAAATAATAATCTATAACTTTTCAAGGGTTTGTGAGGGACAGTGAGTAGGAGAGGGAGGGGGGAGAAATGGGGAGCTGATATCAGGGGCTCAAGTGGGAAGAGAATGCTTTGAAAATGATGGCAGCATATGTGCAAATGTGCTTGACACACTGGAGGAATGTATGGATTGTAATAAGAGATGTAAGAGCCCCCAATAAAAGTATTTTTTTAAGATAATGGAATTATATGGGGCATGCACACCAACTTATTTACACACTTTTTCTATGATTCCTTCTAGGGTCCCTTTACCAACTCGTATTTCAGTTAATTAATTGACATCCCTGCTGAGAAACCCAAACCTTCACCCCATGCTGTTGGCCCTTTCCTATTAAAGTCACAGTGGTCTTCCATTAACTTTGACCACTGGTCATGGAATCATTAGGAGGTTTTCCAGGTGCCCTAGAAATCACCTGGTGCCTTTGCACCCCTCCATGCCCTTCTGTTCCCTGGACAGTGGGTATGCTTGTTCCCTTGCCAGTGTGCCTGACACCTTTGTTGAGCCTGTAGCATGAGAAGCCAGAGCCAAATGGTAGTCTCACTATCTCTTTCCAGGACAAAAGGATAATAAGATGATCTGCTTAGTGGGAAATTGCCCTCTCTGCTATCCTTTAGGAACACCATGAATGGAGCTCTAATGGTTCCGGCAAATTGTACAGTCTCTCCTGCCTCCCTTTAACACCTCTCCTCTGTCTCCCCATCTCCAGCCACAGAGATCATCTTCTACTTTGTACTCAGGGGTTCTTGTTTCCTGAGCTATCCAAAAGCCAGCTCAACCCAGGTCAGGAGCCTTGGACTCAGAATAGTCCTAAGAGCAGGGAATGAAGGGAAGGGAGTGCTTAGGTGAGACTGGGATCACATGAAGCTGCGGAGGGCAGGAAAAACATGGAGGGGGGGCATGCGCTATTATTGCTCAAGACTTCCTCCACCCTAGTGTTATCCAGAAGTTCTATGCAGTGTGCCAGCCATGATCTAGGGTTTCAGGGCCCAGCTCTGCCAGAATCCTTTGGACACAAACAAGGGGTGTAGAAAAGGATGGGAAGGGACGAAGACTCCGTCTCAGGATCAGGGGCTTTCAGAAGCAGAACTGAGTCATCTGGTTTCTTCATCATTTCCAACTTCTTTCTGGAACAAGACCGCTAAAC